TGTTTTTAAAATTTTAAAGCTAAAAACAAATTTAAAAAGGAAAAAATATACCAGCCTTACTTTTTAATTGGATTTTTTAATAGTTTGGGGTGTTCAGTAGGAACAAGCCTAATTTTAAGGTTTTTGTATGGAAGCTATAAAAGCAATTTTAGACAAATCTATTAATAATACTTTAGGTATTTGCCCCAAACAAACAATTAAATGGCAGTTAATTATTTAATACATAGGCGAACTTTTTATGGATTTAATATATCTACAATTTGTTATATTCTGTCAAATCTTAATTTTAATTGAATTTTTCGTTAACGAAACTGTTCTAAAAAATTATATAAATGATTCGTTAACGAAAAATTCTATTAAAATTTGATTAAAAAATAATAAAAAAGTATCTAGATTACGATTTCTCCAAAAATGAAATTTTTTTGGAAAGATTTTTCTCTGGAGATTTCCTCTGGGGAAAAATATTTACTTGGGATTTTTTGGATTTTACCACCATTTGATTAAATTTTCATATAATAAATCTAGGTCCTAGGAATGTCCACATCAAACATAATAAGATAATATACAAATAATGTTTTATATTGCTCCTTGTATGTGAGTGGCGCCATTTAATGTTAACGCATAACGCAAATTAAAGCCACTTGCAAGAAAATCAGCAAACCAGTCTAAATATACAAGGTGTCCCTAAACTTATTGGCATAAATTTAGGAAAATATTGAGCAAGTCAAAATAAGACAAAAACCCAAATAAATATTTTTCGTAACTACTTATGTTTCCAAGATACAGGGTGATAAATTGTTACTTATCATATCAGTTTTTTCAATATAACCTCTACTATGGTAGTCTTGGAAAGGTGATATTTTGCGAACAGTCACTTACTACGAAAACACATATTTACACATAATTATAATTGTTTAAGTGAACACAGTGTCGTAGAAACGGGGGTTGCTCTAAGCTTATTGTTTCATACAAACTTTGAGGTTAGGTTTTTATAACATTTGATGCAATTTTTAGATTACATAGTTCGGCTACCAAGGTGTACCTGTCAAACTTCGATAAAATAAACCGTTTCCGAGATATTCGAGATTTCAATAATTGTTGTATCGCATTATTTAAAAGTATTAAGGTATATGATAACAAATTTTATTTTTTAATTGAAAAAACTAAAAAGACCATTCCACGAGCCTCGGGACATTTTGCCCTGACCGTCACATTAAAAAAATTGTAGTTTTTTCAATTAAAAAAATTGTTATCATATACCTTCTAGTCCTTTAATGCAATATAACAATTATTGTAATCTCGAATATCTCGGAAACGGTTTATTTTATCGAAGTTTGAGAGGTACACCTTTTTAATAGTAGCCGAACTGAGAAATCGAAAAATTGCAACAAATGGTATATAAACCTAACCTCAAAGTTTGTATGGGACAATAAGCTTAAGCAAGCCCTGTTTCTACGACACTGTGTTCACTCGAACAATTGTAATTATATGTGAATATGTGTTTTGGTAGTAAGTGACTGTTCGCAAAATATCACCTTTCCAAGTCTACCACAGTAGAAGTTATATTAAAAAAACTGATATTGTAAGTAACACTTTATCACCCTGTATCTTTTAAACATACGTAATTAGAAAAAATATTTATTTAGATTTTCGTCTTATTTTGACTTGCTTAATCTGCTCCTGAATTTATGCCACTAAGTTTAGGGACACCTTGTATATAGTATTTTCACGGTAAAAGTATGCAGACGGAGTGCATCTGAAGTTTTAAAGTAAATTAACTTGATAATTACGCAATGCGGAAAATCGAATGCAGTTATGATGCGTCAGCTGTATACACCAAAAATGAAAATACGGTATAAGAGATTAGAAATAAAAAACATATTTTATTCAAACAATCGAGGGGTAAACCACTGATTTTTTTAAATTAAAAATCGCTTACGTATTAACGGCTAATGATAACAATAACAAGGGTAGTCATGTACAACGCGTCGCTAAGCACTGATTAAGCACCGATTAAGCAAGTTTTCCTTATTGATAACGACTGATAAGGAAAAAAATCTCAACACAACGTCCACTAACATTGAACGTTGTTCTCTAAGATTTTAAAGTGGTTTACCCCTCGCAAAAAATAGTTGGGATTCAATAATTAATGAAGGTAGCAGATGTTTCGATTTCCCTTTTTTTTAGTTGAAAATTGGATGTAAATGGATGTAAACAAGATAAAATAGAAAATTATTATACGAAAGATAATGCAGGCTATTATTCACGAGGTGTGCGTTTTAAGCCACTATGCGAGAGATTTAAATCATTTGATTAAAATACTATGCTTTTAATACTCTAATTGAGTAATTTTTATTACTTACAAAATTTATAAATACATCTGTCAGCCGGTTTTCGCTGGTGCACTGTCATATACAATATTTGACATCTGTGTGGTGTACTTTAAAGCAATATCTTATTAAACCAATCAAAATACTATAAAACAAAGCTATAAAAAACATTTATAACCTCCCATTAAGATATTGTACAAAAAAATTATAATATCCTCTCCGTTGATAATATACACTTACCAAATATCTTTGTATGTCTACCAAATATTGAATAAACTACGCCACTAAAATATAAACTTTGCATATAGATCCGATGTTTATAACCATCATACAATGCACCGGACAGATGTTGAATCTAAATTAGGTATTCCTCCTCACAAGGTAAAAATTCTAAATATCACAGAGGAGTATCAGTATATAACAGTGTGCCAGAGAATATTAAAAAACAAAACTTAAAAAACTTTAAGAGACTGTTAAAGGTCCACCTGACCAATGTATAAAATGTACAATTTCTGTGATAAATCTTTGTCCACCTGACCAATTTATAAAATGTAAAATTTCTGTGATAAAATTCTTGTTAACTATTTTGTACTAAATATGTAAAATATTATGTAGATAAACTTAAGTACTTTAGTTAAAAGTTAAAAATATGTTTGAGACTGACAAAATGCGATTCTTGGACTAGTGTAAAAATGTACAATGTTAAATATTAATGTAAATATTTAGAGGATAAGCCTGTAATGAAATGTAAATTTCGAAAGGTTTTTTAATAAATTTTTTTCTATACCTTACTTTTTACCGGTTTTAAAGATCATTAGTTACCCCTCAAATCGTCCCAATTATCACATAAGGGCTTATCCCATATTTAACAATTTTACATAGCATTTTAAAGTTTTTCACTAATTTAAATTATTTTTCGGAAAAACAATGTGGTACCAGGTAGTACATTTAATTTAATACCTAGTAACACATTATTTTCCAAAAAATAATTTAAATAAGCTAAAAATTTTCAATTTTTAAAATACCGTGTAACATAGTTAAATATGAAATATGCCCTTATGTAGGGACGATATAAAAAAATCTGACATTTCAGACAGTTCCAACCTCTCTTTCTGCCAATTTAAAACCTGCATGTTTTAAATTGGCAGAAAGAGAGGTTGGAACTGTCTGAAATGTCATGATTGGTTCGAATTACAGTGAATAATAAAATTGGCCAATCACTGATGCCAAACCACAGAAATAATAAGTTCATTATTCTCCATGTTAGGTAGGCAGTTCCAATGGTTACCATTATATACACAAAAACCGGTCCGCGCATGGGCGAACCAGATTCAAATGTTACAAACAGTTTTGCATAGGCAAACGCAATGAACGTGTGTTTTACTACGATTTCTTTTTTCCGAAATTCTTGCAACATTTTTCATAAAGTTTTTACTGCATTTATTAAGCAATAACTATTTACAAGGCCACGCACTGGTGTTTTATACCAGGTTATTTATTAAGTTTGTGTTATTTGTTGTACTTAAAAACTATTTAAAATATGCTTGGATGTGCTGTAGCAGCAGCAGAAATATGAAAAGAAACTCCAACACCCAACCTAATCTAACATTTAATATTTTCTATTTCCAAAAAATAAAGATCTGGCAGCACAGTGGATGAATGCATGAAAAGAAAGGATAAAATGAAAATAAAAAACTGTAAGCAAAGATAATTTTTGGTATACCCAATTTTCTGTTAGGTACCTACTTAATATAATTTTTCACCCTAACCACATATTATTTTTGAGCTTGCATAAGTTATTACTAATAATAAAAAATGAATGAGCACTTTCAAAAGCGCCCATAAGTGCTCATAAATGCTCGAGCGCTTATAAATAAATGCTCGAGCATTTACCAAAGTGCTCGATATTTGAATTTGGCGCCAAAACTAAAAAGCGGGGTTATAAATTAACCAACAAATAACTACTGTTTACATCAGAACATGTTCAGGTCACAAAAGTGGTGCAGGTTTATCCAATTCCAAAATGGTTTACTTACCTCTATTTTGTTGGATTTTTTTTTATAATTTTTTTTTATAAAATTAATATTTCATCGTTTAAAAAATATGTTACATTAGTATTAAAGGCGCTTGATACCAATTTAACTCTCTTATAATTTGCTACACTTAATAATTGCACCCAGGCACTATATTTATACATTTTATAAATTTTCGAATATAACGTGAATTTGCAGTGCAATTAACATTCCAACCCAGTTACCCGCCAGCTTTTGGTTCGCAGATGACGTCACACGGTGCGAGAGAGATAGCTATAACATGCGCATTAGCATACCGGTTTTTGTGTATCATTTTCGTATAATTAATAGAAATAATCAATCAAACAAATTCTAAATTTGGGTGATTTTTAAATTTCGATTGGGTAAATTTCGCTGACTGATCTGACAACCCTGAATTATTCACCAATTAAACAATGTCATATTTTTTAGGTGTGCAATACCTGTATATTATTTGTTTGTAAAACCATTTCATTTTTTGAATGGAGATTTTTATCTAAATATCAAAGAGTATTCAACGCACTTATAATAGTTGAAAAATGTTTTAAATAATCCACTATGTTAACATTTGCCATACCATGTTTTAGATTATTTTAAGAAACAAGAGTATTTATATTACCTAGAGTACTACTGGTAAGCGTTTCTTTCCTCTCCCTAATGGCAGCTTGCAAAGCTCTGCACCTTGCCGCACAATCTTCCAGCTGCGCTGCCAGGTTGTTGGGTAGGGCATTACCCATGGCTGCCGCCTGGATTCTCGCCTCTTCGAGGGAACGCTGCAGCGGAGGCAGTTGGTTTTCCAGGGTCCTGAGATTTACCAGGAGCTCCCTGGCTTCAGCCGCACTCCTAGGACCACTCCAGCTTAATGTGGCGCGTTCCAATCTGGCAACAGCGCCTGATGCCTCTTCCAGGGTCATCGTTAGTTGTTTAAGTTTCTTAAAAGCATAAAATACGGTAATTTTAAGTTACTTTCTAATAAATTTAAAATTTTAATATTAATACAGGGTGTTCTGAAAATGGTGCACTAACGGTTTGCCACGCTGAGGTTATTTTACTTAAGTAGGGTTACTGATTTGATTTGATTTATTAATTTTATTAATTTGTTATTTTAATATTTGAGACTATTTAATTTTCTAAAGTTTCAAAAATAAAAACCTAAAATTTGTAAAATAATAACAATGTTATGCATAATAATGATTATTTCCCTCATTATAATATGAACCAATCAAAAGCCTTGAATTTTCGAATAAATTTCGTTTAAATAAGCGATTAAATCACTAGACCTATTTAACAGCGATTAAATTTTAGCCTCCATATTGGATTTTTGTTTACGATTTTATGGTGTTATTTACAAGTTTTAACAAACATTTTTTAAAAAACAATAAAAAATAAGTTATCTAGTTTACGATATATCAATTATTACTTATTACATACCTTAAATTAATGGTATTTTCGTATATAATACCACTAGTGGTAAAATTTTACCGATAAAATTTTTGATTTTTATACGAATGTTTTTTTCTTGTAAATTTCGCAAGTGGCATTAATTTTTAAGACCACGAGCCGCTAGGCGAGTGGTTTGAAGTTAATGCCACGAGCGAAATTTCCAAGGAAAAATCTTGAGTAAATAAAAATCAAAAATTTTTTCAGGGAAAATTTTATCACGAGTGGTATTCGGCAAGACTATTTCACGAATATTTTTAACTGCTGATTCAATTTCTGTATGATTTTTTGGACCAAAACGCATATTTTTTAACATTTTAATTTTAAAATTAAAAACGTCAACAGTGACAATTATTTTTTTTTCAAGCGGCCATGATATACAACCTTATATGCATGTATAGAGATAGTTGAAGTGCGTCTTTTTCATTAGCGGCAGACAAAAAACTCAAAAAAGCCTAGGGATAGAAGCAAATCCATAGGTGACTCAATAAACGTCAAATAATAAAATTAATTTAGCATTTCATACAAAGCAATCACGATGTATTAATTATATTAATTATAATCGCACGGAATATTTAGTGATTATTTATTAAATTTTAATTGAACGAAATAAAGAAAAACTAGTTTATTAGTATAATATTATGATGATAGACGAGTCGCCAATGTCGAAACTTCAAACAAATGTCAGTACGTCAAAATTAATTCAAGCGCAGCATTTTGACAGAGCAGTGTTTAGTTTTAGTTTCGGATATTTATCGGCATTGTAAGTAAGGTTTATTAGTTTTTTTAGTTTTTATCAATAATTTCTAATGCTTTTAGCCAAAATTTTATCCTACACGAGTTATAAGTAAATAAAATAATTCTATTGCTTATCCTATTTATATTATGCCCTTGAAAAAAAAATTGTATATGTTATTTGGAGTAGAAGCTCTTTTTGTGCTTCGTACAGTTGCCTGCCTCAGCTACGCTTCGGCCGTCAATCTATGTACTCACCACAAAAAGAGTCACTTCTACTCCTTATAACATAATCTACTATTATCATAGCAACCAATTGGTTGCTATGCAACTCGTATAAACGAGTGGTTTTTTCACCTGAATAGTAGTTTTATCGCTGCAAAACTGAAAAAACCACTCGTTTTCTGAAATCTGATTGGTCCAAAAAGTAATGAGTGGAATAGTCTTTAAAAAAATATTTATAAATTTTGACACATACGTCAGATTTTATGAATTGTTAAATAGTTTCCTTCAAACTATGCTCAGTAAGTTTTTTTATTTGATTTTTCTTTTTGGAAAATAGTTTCATGCAAAATAATTAAAAATAAAACCCCTCGACCGCTACGCGGTCTCGTGATTTTATTAAATTATTTTGCATTCAACATTTTCCAACAAAAACCAAACAAAAAACTACTGAGCCTAGTTTAACCGATTAAATTCATAGTTCTCGTGACATAATATATGATTAAAGCATTAATTTTCTGACGTAAACTGACGGAAAATACAGCTGTCAACCCCCCGCCCACCCAACCAATCCCTTCTCTATGTGTCAACCATGTTTACTTCTGAAAGCTGCTATTTACGTTGTCTTCATCAAAGATAATCTTTGGTCTTCATAACAATAATCCTTATTATATATGTGATATTTAGCACAGTAGGAATACAGCGTTGTCGAGTTTTTAAACTTAAATGTTTGATAATTCAAAATAAAAAAATATACTTAAAATAATCGCGTGGTATAGAGTTAGTGCGCCATTTTCGACACACCCTGTATATTGGAAATTAAAAAGTAAAATCTCAACAAAAACAAAGTAAAAACGTAAAGATTTATTGGCTTAAAATATAAAGTATACTTAAAAAATGGTCAAAATATAGTTATTTTTCTTTTTAGGTCAAGAAGTGAGTATTTTGTGCTGAGCGGAGAGCTACAATTTTATTTGCTAAACGACGCATAAAACGTACAATTATAAAATTAATTATTAAAAGTAGAAAGTGAGGTTAGGTAGATCTGACAGTAGTCGAATTTTTTTATTGATCCAAAGTTTATAAGTAACGAATTAGACTGTAAAAAATCTAAATAAATTCACTCTAGAGGGTAAATGAAGCCATTTTGGATATGTTGATGGGTTAAACTAACTTTTTTTACACAAATATACAAATAAAAATATAAATATTGTGTCTCATAACTATTGGATCAACTATAGAAATGGTAAAATGTTAATAATAACCGAGATACAGGGTATAAATGTAAGATGATATTTGTAATATTTGGAAAACAAATGTATTAAATTGTTAAAATTTATAGAGTATAGGTTTTAAGGTAGTATCCCCATTTAAAGAGATTGATAAATAAAAATAGTAGGCATTGAGAGCAAATTCAGCGGTGCCAATGTCGTAAACATTATAAAAATAAAGTATAATTAAAAACAACAAAAAGTAAATAAGTAACAATACAAATTGTTAACTTGTTAATGAAAATTTTAGTAATATAAAAATATAGTACAATAATCAATTTTTAAGGTCTTAACATGATCCTCTTTTGTTGGTTGAGTTAAGAAACTAATTTTTGAAAGAATCCATGAAAAATAACACTTGGGCAAAAGCAAGGGCAGAAGTATTATTTCCCATAGATTATGCCAAAAATTCGTTTTCAAACTCGATAAACAAAATACGCCGTTATCATCGTAATAAGCATTTGTTGTTTTGTTCGAGAGGAAATCCTGGATTGAGTTTTTACCGGTTTCCCAATATACAGTGGAAATACAAATGAAGAAATAAATTGCTCAATCCTGGATTGAGTTTTCACCGGTTTCCCAATAAACAGTGGAAATACAAATGAAGAAATAAATTGCATCCAGTCCCTGTAAATATAAATTGTACCTATTAGATAGTCGTCTAAATTCAAACATTTAGCATTATTGAAAGCGTTGATTAAGAAAGTATCCACTCAACAGTAAAATACCAAGAACCGGTATTATAATATAATATATATGATATTATTATGTATTATATCAGTGAAGCACTGAGCCTTGAGGCGAGCGGTCGCGTTTAGGGTCTCGTTTGGGGCTCGTACTTACATAGGGCCAGCACCGCTGAAGTTTAAATAAGAAAAAATCAATATCGATTCTACACGTGATATATCAGATCCATGTGCAAAAAGAGTGCAAATTGTGTGTAATACCTCCTCCTGGATTAAGTCCTCAAGTGTTTGACCTGGTTAAAAGGTGTGTGTGTGAGACAATCAGTTCCAACGAATAATTTCCTGGATTACCACACGTGCTCAAGTGGGCGGCCTGGACTAAGGAACAATTTCATCTCACCTACCTGGCAATAATTTCGAAGTCCAAGTCTGCATAAATTAGATAATATTAATACTAAAGTTTAATACGAAATCCGCAACCTTTAACTAACAAATAATCCACCAGGTAAAATTAATTAGTCGCAAACAATTTCCATGGTTCCCATGCACAAAAAGTAAACATAGTAAAAAAAACTATAAACACAAGGGCACACATAAGAAGCCATTAATCACACAAGTTCCGATAAATATTAGGCAAAAGAAACTCATCCTAAAGAAATAAACATCTGTAGATTACCAAGACGTTAAGGGGACCATAAACTAGGTAACCAACCGTTCTTTGCGTAAATAAACAGCCGCACCGCACAGTGGGGTGCAAACATAGAAATGATTCTACTAATAATAGTATTGTCTATATGGGTGCAACGTGATCGATAATCGAGCTGGGAATATGGCCCAGACAGAGAGAAGGACACAGACGAACGGGAAGTACTTTAGGGCCAGCAAGGATGGACCCAGGCAGCATATTAGCCAATCAAGTCGCCATCAATAACCCAAAATGAATGGGGATTACGCACAGCGGGGTAATATTTCGAGGGTATCGGTATCGGCAATTTTTCAGTAGATAAACAAAGGCGGGACAAACAGCTGCTTATATGAAGTCGGTACTCGGCATGAGGGGCAAAATTTCCACGAAGTCAGAGGGCACTACTTAAGGCGGGCAACACTTCGGTACTGAAGATAAGATTCAGTATCGCAAAGGGGGGCAAACAATTCTAAAGCGGCTACCAGGAACCGGAATCCGACTCGGACAGCGACGAACAGAAAGTACACCAACAAGGATGGGTTCCAGCAGCTTATTAATCCACCTACCCCCATTCATGAATCCCAAGTGAATGGTGTTATTACTAAAGCCCTGGTTGAGAAGGATTCCGGATTGTACTTAGTTTAGGGTCAGTTCAATGTCCTCCAAAAACCATTACTTTCCCTCCTTGTCCCGCTCTCCTCTAGCCTTAACTGGGCGTATGGCCCGACCCGGCGACAAAAATCCGGGAGTGGCCTTAACCATCGACATTGTCATCCACAACCTCCTGGGGGATATCTACCAGCCGGCGTAAAAATGCGGATCCAACAAACACAGGTAATGCTGGATACGTAGGAGAACGAAAAGGGGTAAAATAACCCTGCAAGATTAGTGTAAGGTGATGCCGATGGGGCCTGCCATACGTCCCCATACTCATACTCATAATATTATTATGTATTATACAAGGTGTCCCTAAACTTAGTGGCATAAATTAAGGAGCAGATTAAGCAAGTCAAAATAAGACGAAAATCTAAATAAATATTTTTCCTAATTACGTATGTCTAAAAGATACAGGGTGATAAAGTGTTACTTATCATATCAGTTTTTTTAATATAACTTCTACTATGGTAGACTTAGAAAGGTGATATTTTGCGAACAGTTACTTACTACCAAAACACATATTCACACATAATTATAATTGTTTGAGTGAACACTGTGTCGTAGAAACGGGGGTTGCTTTAAGCTTATTGTCCCATACAAACTTTGAGGTTAGGTTTTTATAACATTTGATGCAATTTTTGGATTACTCAGTTCGGCTACTATTAAAAAGGTGTACCTCTTAAACTTCGATAAAATTAACCGTTTCCGAGATATTCAAGTTTACAATATTTGTTATATGGCATTAAAGGACTAAAAGGTATATACATATGATAACAAATTTTTTAATTAAAAAAACTACAATTTTTTAAGGTGACGGTCAGGGCAAAAAGTCCCGAGGCTCATGAAATGCCCTTTTTAGTTTTTTCAATAAAAAAAATAAAATTTGTTTTCATATACCTTTTAATCCTTTTAAATAATGCGATATAACAATTATTGTAATCTCGAATATCTCGGAAACGGTTTATTTTACCGAAGTTTGAGAGGTACACCTTTTTAATGTTAGCCGAACTGTGTAATCGAAAAATTGCATCAAATCTTATAAAAACCTAACCTCAAAGTTTATATGGGACAATAAGCTTAAAGCAACCCCCGTTTCTACGACACTGTGTTCAGTCAAACAATTGTAATTATGTGTGATTTTCTTCTTACTTTTCCTTAATTTATGCCAATAAGTTTAGGGACACCTTGTATATTATGTTGCCATGAATACGTAGGTATATTTTGTTATCGGCGTATTTTTTAGAGCACTCAAATATAAGAATATTTAATTTTAAGGTTATGTTTGTACAACAATTATTTTTTGTTAGATTTCTTAAAAATGTCCAAACTTAAATATAAACTATATTAGGTAAAGTTATCATTAGTTAATTCTGCACCAACAAATAGTATCGTATTGGATCCTTTGGCAAAACATGAAAATACAACGATTTAGTTCTTGAATTTTATTTACAATTAAAAACCCAATAATTCACCATGATCACTAACGTAACTATATAAGAGTATATGCGTTGAGTTTCTTAATCAATGATATAAGGAATAATACATCGAAATCGAGTACTAAACCAAAGTTTTTTAGTTTTTACTTGCAACGCGAAACACAAATAACGTTCACGATTTAGCTGTGCAATTGAACCGTCCTCTCTTTTGTAAAAAAACTACTTATTTATTTAAAAATGATGTGCAGTTCATATGCTTTAAATGTATTATTGACAATTCTTGAATTCACACAATGCTATCGAACACCACCAAATGGCGCGTTGTGAAAACCCGATGCTTCTTTAGCGTATAGGATCATGTTAATAGCTTAAAAATTGATTATTATAGTTAATTTTGTATGTAAACCTCATGAGCGGCCTCGTAAGATACAAAATTTGCTGTGGCGTATGAAAACAAATGTAACTTTAAAAATTATTTTCTTGGAATCTGCTGTAAAAAATCTGAAATATTTTGTGAATGTGTCAGATGCCTCACAAAATCATATAAAAAATGTTGAAGACATTTGTGATAATTTTTGATGGTACTCCTAGAGGGCGCTAGGTAGAATTGAGGTAAAAAAGTAAGCATTTTAACACAAATTTTTAAAATAACATTTTAACATTTATTGCCCTGTTCTAGTTTATTATTCCTATTCCTACAGCTGGTGTATGGGACACCCTGTATAAATCAAAATAGGAAAAAATATTTTAAACCAACAATTTTGGAGATCTTTATTATAAAATTTTTGAAAATTGAATTGTAATAAAGACATTTACAATTTTACTTTGATGATCTTACTGAGTTTAATTCTAAATATCTCACATTTAAAATTATGATTAAACAAAAATGTTTTTTAATTACACAATATATACATAAGGGTGTCCGTTATTTACCAAGTTAATTTTTTTCCAACAGCGCCCCTAAATTTTAGGTTTGTACCCTTAAAAAAATATAAAACCAAAAAAAGTTCTTAATATTCTTTATATTTAATTTTGTGTTTCTTGAACAGGTAAAAATACAGGAATATCCAAAACTTGTTTTTGTCGGGATTTAAACGCTCTACAAAAAAGCTTCCTACTAAATTACGATAAAATTACTTAATCAAAAGTTAGGGGGCGCTGTTGGAAACTTGGTAAATAACATACATTAAAACCATTAAAAAATTACCTTATAATCTTCTTAAATTTCAGGAAAATCATGCTTAAACAAATAAACTACATCATGCATTAATTACAATTATTTTTACCATTGTATTCTGCTCAAATCTATTAGCCAGCTGGTCAGATTTGTCAATCAAAGCATTCCATTTATCAGACAACTTAACCAACTCCCTTCTTAAATTCCTAGCCAACTCTCCAGATGGATCCCCGGCCACAAATTGCCTGGCACTCCTCAAACTAGTCTCCACCAATGGCCTCTTATCTTCAAGTTGTTGCCGAAATGCTCTTAAATCATCTTGTCTTGAAGCCAACCCCGATTCCGTATCTTTTCTTATTACCCACTCTGTTAGTTCTCTTAATGATAATAGCAAAGCATTCCAGTAATCTGCGTTGTGCTCCAAACGATTTCTTAGGTCTGAGGTTCTTGAACATAATGACTAAAACAATAAAATTTAGTAAGCAGGTATATATATGTTAATGTTGTACAATACAATAGCAGTAAGTGTTTTAATAAAGGGAAAATTTGTAGCCAACGAGGCCAAATTTGCCCATATACTAGGTTTCATATGGGTAAATGTCTAAAGAGTGTTTATTTGAATGTTTCTATTCAATTATATGTTGTTTAATTTTAGGAAAAGATTTAAATCAACATTTGGAAGTAAAAAACAAAACAAAAATGATGGAAATTGAGTCGTTTATTTCCATGCGAATTTATTAAAGGTTGAACCTTTTAAATGGTTAATTTTTTAGTTGTGCATAACTTTTTACTAGCTAGAAGAAACTAGTTTTGGGTCCTGAACATAATTTGGGAAATTCCACATTGTTATAGCCAGGCATCATAAATAGACTCACGATACATTTACGTTGATGTGGTCTCGTTAGACAAAAAATATATTAAATTGAATAATTATAATTCTCCGACCCTGGAAAAATTTCCTTGGCTAAATAAAATCTGACATTTCTTGATTTCTCTTTTTAATTGTAGTATTTGGTAAAAAAAAATTGTGTCACACATTGATATATTATTCCTATGGTAACAAACATCACATTTTTAATTTGTAATAGTAAAATATGTATAAGAATGTTTGATATTTAAACCTATAAAATTGTGTAAAATATTATTTCTTTGGTAAATATTCCTTGATAAACGTATTTGAAACCAAAATAATTGTTTGTATATTTATATTTATTGACAATTCAAACTTGTTATCACTATTATTTTATATTGGTGATCTTTAATAATGATTATGTTTATCTGTATTAATATTAATTCTCATGTTAATAAATTTTTTATAACTGCTTAAAGGTTTGTTCTTATTTGGGACTTCTGTCAACAGATGGGGCTAAAATTCTAAACTACTACATATATATATTTTGTATAAATGATCTTGTTCCTTTTTTGAGGGAAAATTTATCGATTTGCTGTATTATTTTACCTTATGCCCATAGTCAGTTCATAAGAGGGGGATTCAAAATATATCATACCATAGACATAGTAATACGTCCACATATGATACAAATTGTCAACTAAATAACATGCAGGTTATATAAAAATGTTCTAAATCATTTGCTTACATCGCCTAGGTTAAGCTTACAGTCCGTTCAGGCTAAGTTGAGCGCTTTGGTGGGGATCATATGGCCGTTGATTAAATTAAATATCGAATCGTCGCGAGATTTTGGAAATAAGAATATGATTTATCAGTGCCGCGGCTTGTCGTTTGTTCGTACAGAGCGGCTACCGAAATACATGTATTTAATTGTGCCTGAACATAGAGATGATGAACTGGGTGACATTCCTTAGACCGCTCAACTTAGCCTGAACGGACAGTACATACATTTCTGTGGTTTGGCTTTATAAAAAGCAAAAAGTGGCATAATATGCATATTATGTAAAAGCCACTAAACATCTCGTAAACACAATGCCAAAACAATTGGTATACAACAGAAAACATTCATATTATGTAAGTAAAAGCCACTTAACATCTTGTAAACACAATGGAAAAAAACAATGCCAAAACAATTGGTATACAACAGAAAACAAACAAAAAACCATTAAACCATTAAAAACCATCTACATATTAGAATGTCTTTGATAAAAACCTTTGGCTATCGTAGTAGAAATACGAGGATGGTTCGGAAACTACGTGGCCTAACACATAAATGGCGCGAATTTGGAAGAATCTTCTTTAACATTTTATGAAATCATCTTTTAATAGGTAAAATATAATACTACAAAGTGATCTGTCAATTAGTCTGTTTTTGACAGTACGCCAAAGTGAACGCATAGATGACCGAAGGTGAGTGAACGTCTCGTGTAATTTTGTAAACAATGGAAAAATTGAATTGCAAGCACTGATAAAGTACTTCAATTTAAAAGGCTTAACACCAACCGAAATTAAAGCAGAGCTGGATTTAACACTATTTGAGTCCGCTTCTTCGTTTTTAATGGTTAAAAACTGGGTTGCCGAATTTAAACGAGATCGTACGAGTACAAATGATGAACCCCGTAGTGGACGTTCAAAAACGGCTACTCTCCCGGATATTATTGAAAAAGTGCACCATATCGTATTGAATGACCGTCGAGTAAAAGTGCGCAAGATAGCAGACATAATGGGTATCTCAAATGACAGTGTGCACAGAATTTTAACCGAAGGATTGGAAATGAAAAAATACTTGGCGCGTTGGGTGCCGCGATTGCTTGCACCGCGGTGTACCGGAGCAAAAACTGAATCGTTTGAGTGTGTCTCGCGACCTTTGACATTTTTGCGTCGTTTCATAACCGTCGATGAAACCTGGGTCCACCATTGTACTCCCCAAAACCAAATAACAGTCCAAACAATGCTTTATATAGCTTAGGGTGTTTCAAAAAAATCGACTTTTTCTTTTTCTTCAAATGGTCGGTAAATTCTTTCAGAGGATGTCAAAACAAAGACCTCGTCAAAACTTGAGCTTTTAATTTGAAGATTTAGAGGTCTCGGATCGCAATTTTCTATTTCCCATTTAAATAACATGGGAATTTTTTTTTTTAACTTTGGAATTTTATACGTCTGAATCGAATCAACTTATGGCAAGGATCATCTTAGATTTTGATAGTAAATTTAACGCTCTATAAAAAAGGTCTCCTATCATTTTTCTATAAATTGATTCCTTCCAGAGCTATTCGAGGCCAAAGTTTGATTTCCATCGAATTTTCGCGTTTTTTAACATTTATGGTACAATTATCATTATACGAAATTAGAGGGCCAAACTTAAACAGTACATTATTCGTAGAAAAATAACACTTTTTTTGTTAAATAAACATGTATCAAAAAATGCTCCCTAAAGGAGCTACGGCCCCCTGAATAGGAGCCTAAGAGGATAATTTTTTTAAAACTATTCCTAGAGGGTTGAACATGAACAAATGAATTTTCGGTACTTTGGTAACTTTGACATGCTGAATCTAGAACTATGATCAAAACTGTTAAAATTTAATCATAGGCGTAACATTTAGGGGGGGGGGGCAAAGTTACAAAAATAGCCCCAACTTTTTTCTGGGTTAATAATTTAATTTTTTTTATGAAATTATGAGAATTTATAATTTTTACGAAAAATAGGTACTCTTGATTGCTCAGATGCACCATTTTCGAGAAAAATGCATTTATAAATTACTCTGCATAGTATACAGTGTATACTATACACAATGTGTATTACAGATCTCATATTTTCATTAAAACTTTGTAGTAGGCTTTGGAAAAAAGTGACGTTTTTTTGTTTTTTTACAACACTTCCTATGTCTCAGATATAAATATGTGATTTTTTTTACTACATGATGCTAAAAGTTGAAAAAACGAGAAAATTCGATGGAAATCAAACTTTGGCCTCGAATAACTCTGGAAGAAATCAATTTATAGAAAAATTATAAGAGACATTTTTTATAGAGCGTTAAATTTACTATAAAATCTAAGATGTTCCTTGCCATAAGTTGATTCGATATAGACGTATAAAATTCCAAAATTAAAAAAAAAATCCTATGTAATGTTATTTAAATGAGAAATAGAAAATTGCGATCCGCGACCTCTAAATCTTCAAATTAAAAGCTCAAATTTTAAAGAGGTCTTTGTTTTGACATCCTCTGAAAGAATTTGCCGACCATTTGAAGAAAAAGAAAAAGTCGATTTTTTTGAAACACCCTAATATAGCTATTTCGACGACTTGGATTCATCGACCTACAAGGAAGGCTAATTTAGAATATCATTGGGATAAGTGTGTTAAGGGAGCTGGAGACTAAATTGAAAAATAAAATGTTTTTTGTCCAAAAAAATTTGCGTTTTCTTAGTTAGGCCACGTAGTTACCGAACGATCCTCGTACGACGTTGCCACATTCTTGCTGTTATAAAATATATATAAAATCTAAAATATCATCATTTTGTGTGTTTATTATTGTTAAATGCTTTTTTATGCAATTTATATACAATTTATTAAAAAGTATTAATTATACTTCCCAAATAGAGACAAAAATATGGTCTTGACACCACGCATGTGCCTCAATGCGTTCTCCCGTGTGATTCTCACTTCCCCTTCTTTAACCCCACGAAAAGGAAACAGTCTTAGTTAGAAATGATTTTTATATGTGTGGAAGTATGTATAAACTATAGTGTTTAAAAGTGTAAAATAATAAGGTAATAAATAGTACATTATAGACCAGGCGGAGGAAGCTCATATAATAGCCACATTTTAGCAGTAGATTTTGTGCGAGGCAATTTAATAAGCTCTCGCCGCCGTGTTTTATATACTTTTTTTTCAAGCTTTTAATTTTAATTTAAAAATATTTTCTTTAGATTGTGTTAAATAATTTTTAGGTTGGGTTCAACTGACATAACGATATTTAAATTTAGCTTTATTTCTCAACATCATGATAATAATAAAATAAATATTATTGTACATGCACTTATAAAAACATATTTTCTTCATAATTAAAATGTTTAGACAGGCAGTGTGATATTAATTTAAAATATTTCGTTTTAAACCCATTTTTCATGAAAACTAATGTATTTTTATGAGTTTAAGTAAGGGCATGTGGATACTTTTTTCCATGCAGTATACTATAAAAGTATACATAGAGACAAAGTATTTTTATGAAAAAAAATAGTTTTTTTTTAGTTTATTTATTTACCTGCCATCTTCTTTCAATTTCGTCTCCCCTCAGCTGCAACATCAAAGCATCTTCAGGTGCCAAAGAACCAAGCAAGGCCAAACTAGACGATCTCAAAGCAGCATGAGTGGGTGCCTGCCTCTCGACATCCGCTTGAAGTTCCTTGAGCTGGTGCGCAGCTCTCCGAGATTCTCCATCGGTCTCTAAACTTTCCAAAACAGATTCAGCCTCGCTGAGCCAGCCGAGGAATTTGTCTTGTGAACGATCAAGGTTTTGCAGTGAACTTAAAGCGGAATGTAAAAGTTTGCCTCTATTAATCACGCAAGCATCTAATCGTAGGTAGTGTTGATTGACATATTCAGCAGCCTAAAAGATACTCAGTTTGTATATGAGGTAGATCATAATAAATCTGAAGTACTTAAGAAGGTGATACCGTAGCCGCGAAAGTCAAGGGGGTCAAGCCACAAAATTGGCGGAATACAGTTTAGTACACAAAAACATTTTAAAACTATTAAAAATGCCAATGAACTTGGGCCACACCATGCTTTAATTTAAAGTATATAGGTATTACATTTTGCGAACACATACATTAAAGTACACAATGACAACAAGCCGCAAAAGTCTATTGACAATAAAATATATTTATTTGTAATTATTCATTAAAAAAAAGGAAGGATTATATTATAATACACTGCAAGTCAAAATTAACGCATAATAAGTAAAAAAACGCCTTTACCAATCTTTATGAAATTTTGTATAAGAATACTTCAACTTATATTTCAGTTTACGTGTTTGAGGGTTTTTCGATAAAATATTTTTTAATCCCTTTTATTTAATAATAAAAAAATCGTTCGAAAAATAACTTTTAGGGAATTTTTTTTAAGTAATTAAAAAAGATGCTGTTAAAGACCGTATTGTTGTTTTTGTTTGTATACCCTGAAAATTAAACGAACAGTAACGAAGATACAGCGCTTCAAAGTCGGTAAAAATGACCCCTTTTTGATTATTTTGCTGAAAAGTGGTCATTTTTGACGACTGAAGCGCTGTATTTTCGTTACTGTTTGTTTGATTTGTACAACATTTTCAGGGTATACTTACAAAAATACGGTATTTCACAGCCTATTTTTTATTTACTTAAAAAAATTCCCTATAAGTTTTTTTTCGAGCGTTTTTTTATTATTAAATAAAAGGGCTTTAAGGATATTTTTTAGAAAAACCTTTGAACAAGTTAACTAAGATATAAGTTAAAGTATTTTTATCCAAAATTTTATAAAGATTGGTAAAGGCGTTTTAGAGTTCGAATTTTTTTACTTATTGTGCGTTTATTTTGACGCGCAGTGTATTTGATATGTATCGCGCTCCAAGAAAAGGAACCTAAGCCTCCCAGTGCTAATTTTAGAAGATAAAGGAACAGCTGTCTAATCTATAATGATTATAATCCAGAAATCGATTGTCGGAGCGTGTCATATAGGTACATATGTATATAAAAAAAGTTTCAAATGTTACTTTCTTTGTGACACATCTTATGATTTTGTGGACTGGCCACCTTGACATCCACGGCGACGACAGATATCAGACAAACCGACCCTATTATAATAAAGAAATTTTAGTTAGAAGTTTTCTTTATAAAGTGCTTAAAAAAGAAAAATGTTTTGTTTATGACTGTCAACAATTGCTTTTAAGGCAGCATATGCTATTAAAAAGAAAAATGTATGAACCATGTCTGTACTATATTTAACAAAAATAAAACAAGATCATGCACATGTTTATTTCTTATATTGTAATTTATATCTATCGTCGAAATGGCTATGAATGTAAAACTGTAAAAAATATAAACTAAAAAAAAATTGGGTTGTTTTTTAATTTTATTATTAATTCAGTTGCCATTCTTAATTCTAGACAGCTTTCGTTGTAATATTGCTATTTAATGTGCAAAGTAAAAACATTTTTTAAATAAAATCAAATTTATTTTATAAATACTCAGTACATATTTAAACTTCATAATTATTGAATCTTAAGTTTTTTTAAAATTTCAAATGGTTTATAACTACGTCAGCTAAAACTGCTCTTAATACGATAAAAGTTAGAACTTTATAAAGTTGAAAATAATTAAGAGTTATACGTTACGACAGTTACATCAAGTGCTCGATTTCTAAAAATAGAGGTGCCAGAACTGTAACCTCCCCCAGGTTTGGTTATACAAAAACTTTTATTTTATTCCAAATTTTATTTTGCAAAACCAGTAGGTACAAAAATGTGTTAAGTAAAGTAATAAAATCAATAAAAAAGCACTGTTTCCTAAATATTTGAGTTGCCTTTCGTAATATTTTGTTTTTAAAAAGTAAAGTAATTAAATCTAATGTTGGCATTCTAGTTAATATTATAATTAATTATTATCCCGGACAACAATCGGGATTTCCTGGTGAAGTCATGATGATATCAAAACGTGATTTTTTTTTATCACGCTGTGATATCCTGAGTGCATACACATGCTTCATCACAATGATATCATGTAGAACTCACGGTGTGATATTTGCAAAATTTGCGCATGCGTATGAGCCCTGCGAACTGCGAATTTAAAACCTAGTTTGTTATTCACATTACACCGTTATAATTTATAAAACGTTGTTTGAATATCACTAATGTTGTCCGAGTTCAATTAAAAAAGATATTCCAATGTTAAAATCTTGAAACTGGAACATGAGTTAAAAACTACAAACTTAATAACTTAACAGTTATTATTTTAGTATTTGGAACGTGTTTCTAACCAAAACTACCGTAAAGTAAATTAAATTGGAAAAAACTTTAAAGTAGCGAAAACTACTTCAAAGGAAAATGCTTCTTATCGCCCATTTTTTACTGTACAGTACCACGTGGTAATGTAAATAATAAATTAATTTAATTGTTTGTAAATGGTTGTTCACTTTTTAATAAATAGTAATTTTGTTGGTAATAGACGGTATTAATAATTAAATAAAAAATTAATAATAAATATTAAGATTTTTTTATTTATAAACATTATTAAATAAATAATTTGTTTATACTTAAATATTGATGAAGCGCATTTATTTTACAAAAACTAAATTTATTTTTAAGTTCAACAGTAAAATTTAAAGGGTTTATAAATTTACCTGCCTAAACATTATATTGTTATTCTGGAAGTTATAAACTACCTACCAGTACATATTTAATAAACGACGACATTGAAAAGCCAAGTCCGTAGTGGTTCCATTTAAAAAAGGAGGTATAGCTATATACTAGTATAATCTGATATAAGTTTGACAAAGACAGTTAATATTGAAGTAAAAACACATAAATAAAAGTAACTATAACGCTTTAGCAACTATATTGAAACGTTCTAGTAACGTAGCAGCTACGTTCCAAATAGTAGCAGGGTTTACACAGCAAACGAAAAATTATAGAAGTGTATAGGATGACTCCGCGTTTGAATATCAAATCTTAAAGTTTTATCATAACTGTATTGAATCGTGCTTTGTTTTTATATTTTTCGGCTCTATACCTATGCACGACTATATTTAAAGTCAAACTCAATGGTGTCTTACAAGATACATTATTTTGATTTTCTATATTCAACAGAGGAGTAGAAACTCGACCCTGTCGAATGGTGCAGTCATATATGTCTCTAGAAATTATTAAAAAAGGGTTCAGTCCAATGGTGCAGCAACTTCGGATTCCTATTCTCCTCAGAGACATAGAAACTCAAGCTTTTCGAATTTTACTGGCAATGATTTTCGTTAATGTCCCCGAGAATTATACAAAAACAGCGCAATGCAATATCGCAACGGTTTCGACTTCTCTTTACTCTACCAAGTTATAGAAACTGGAGTCTCTCTAATACTGTTCTAGTCAATATTTCTGAGAGTATAAAAAGAGGGTGTAATATTGCAAGAAGTTTTGATCTTTTGATAGATGAATTTTCTCATTTCTCCATATGATTTTGTTGAAAATAGTTCCTTTCTTTGGTTCCTTTGTCTAATTTTTATTTACCGTAACAACTCAGGTATGTAAAGCACAGAGGATATGATGTTAAGTATATTTATGTATTATATAAAGTACCTATATTTGTATTAAAAATTTAAGAGGTTATGTTGAAAAATGATCGATATGCTATTAAACTTTAATAATTTAGTAATTAGGTCTGTTGGTAGACCCTGCACTATCTCCACTGGTATAGTTTAGTAATATTTAAATCTGGTTGATGAAAAAGTACACACCAGTGCAGGTTATTGTAGCATCTACGAACAAATGAATTAATGGGCCATTGGCAATTATTCCTTTAGGAAAAATATTCAACACAGCTTAATTAATTAATAAAATGAAAAAAATCACAATCATGTCGTATATAGTTTTTTTTAAGCATAAAATAATTTTTATATTACTAGTTCAAAAGTGAAATTACGACCTCTATACTGTGGAGAGTATTGAAACGCTCGACTGACGAATACCACTCTATACCGTAGGGAGATTTAGAAATCGATATTCAAACGTGGCGTCATCCTATACACCTCTATAATTTTCCGTTTGCTGTGTATAGCTAGTGACATATTTGCTACCTTTTTGAAACTCAATAATTGTTCCCCACTTTAGTCGTAACTTAGTAATGAAAGAGTAATATAAAGAGACCGGCGACTGTCGCAAAACACTTTAAAGTTTCTTCAATAGTTCCATATACGTAACAAATACTTAAATTGTTGCTTGGGTAGCATACATGTTTTACTGATAGGGTTGTTTGTTGTGTGACGTACCTAAAGGTAGGTATAGGAAAATGACGATTTTTTCAAAATAACCGTAATTTCGTTCCCAACCTGGGACCAGACCAAAAATACATTGTATTATTTTTAGAAAATAAGACGAAATTGGCGTTATATTGACAGATACATAACCCCATAATACCTGGGTACTATGCTCCACTCCCAAGTCCCACCTTGACATTTAAATACAAATAATTGAGGCTATATCGATGACTTTTTGCCAAAGTATCGCAAGCAACATAACTCAAATTTCGGGAATTGAAAACATTTTTTATTTTAAAGTCTGTTTTAAACCATATATAACCTATAGGTTTTATAACAAGTAAATAGCTGTAATTATAAGTTATTTACTTGTTATAAAACCCTTAGGCTATATGTAATTTAAAACAGACTTTAAGACAAAAAATGTTTTCAATTCCCGAAATTCGAGTTATGTTGCTTGCGATACTTTGGCAGAAAGTCATCGATATGTCTGTCAATTTAACGCTAATTATTTTCTAAAAATAATACCATAAATATTTGTATGGTATTTTATGGTATTATTTCTATGAAGGCCTTAATGATGACCACGCTAGGTAGGTATAATAGTCTAAAGAATGTGGACTTTAAATAGCTATTTAGTTCACATTGTTAAGACTATTATATCTAGCTTAAATGGTCATTATTAAGACAGTTATGCCTATGTTTTGTACATATTCTAAATAATGTTATAAAGTTATTTCGAGAGTTATTTCTAATGGCCTATTTGTAGATGCTACACTAACCTACACTAGAGCATTTTTTGAGCATTGAGTTTTAAATATTGTTACACTAGTGTAGGGTTACAAACAGACCTTTAATTGGAATAACTAAATTAGTTATGGCAATAGATTTTGTTAATTCTATACCTAAGATAACCCATTTTATCACTTCCTGAAGTATATCAAAATTGCCATGTGATGTATGAGTGGTTGGTTTTTGCTTACCTTTTTGTAGCGAGTTGTGTCTTCATTTTGGTGCACAGTAATCAGTCTCTGTATAAATTGTTGAAAGCCCTCGATTTGTGCTTTGAATTGGTGCAATTCAGCATGCAGTCCCTTCTGCTCCCTCAATTGCACCTCCAGGACATCAGCTGTGTGACCCACAGGAATCATGGCAGAAAGCCTGGATTCCATTCTTTGGAGCCATGCTTCGAGTTCTAGCCTCTTTTGGTCAAAATTTTCGTCTTTCTTGTGCATTTTGCAGCTACATTAATTTACTATACCGCTAATTAGTCCATATTTGTACTGTAGGTGTCAGTCTCACATGCTGAATACAAATTAACCGGGTCTCGAAAGGGCGATTACCTCTCTGCAAGACGTTTGGTAAAGATCAATGTTTACAACCTAGGGTTGATGACCGCGCACCTGATTCTTGCAAACTCTGCTCCATCAAAAAATCCAAATCATTTTCACACAGCTTCGCGCCTATCCCGTCAAATCCAAATTATAAGCGACCAAACTAACAATTACCCTCAATTAACCTTACTTTAATTAAGTTGACATCTTTCTCTGCTCTTTAAAAACAAAATAATTTTTGACACATTGCGATAAATCATCGATTTTTTACAGAACTTAAACTTGGCAACACTTAATCTTTAAAACGAGATCACACATAAAATATTTTTAATTTTACAAATTCTACAAGATATTTTGTTTTGTTATAAGTAATCAAATAAAATTATTGTAAAACTTGGCAACGCCGTAATAAAGATTGCCACAACAACAAACCAGTATTGCCACTACATAAAATTTGACAATCAACAAACAAATGTCAGAGAAAGCTCTAGTATTGAGGTTAATTTGCTGTTTTTACCTATAACGCAAGTGAATAAAAGCATGTTGGATGTTATCAGCTGAACAAGGTGACAATAAAAAAAACAAAAAATGGAAAAAGCACAGACGCACACGCACACGAAAGAAATCAAACCGAAAATTGAAACTCTGTCTGAAAATAAAAGGACAGGCTTGAATAACTGTAGGGCTTTAGTGTTTTTATTATTATGGTACTTGTTTAGTGGCTGTACGTTATTTTTAAACAAATATATTTTGACTTACTTAAATGGAAATCCTACAGTTTTAGGTAAATACAGATTGAAATGTTTTAAAGGGGAACACCACTGTGACAGTCTAAAAATTGCTCATTTTTGGAAACTGCTAAAAATAATATTAGGATTGAATAAATTATACTTTTTACCATGTAAATATATTTTTTTATTAAAAAATATTAAAAATTAGTAGCAATTACTCATTGGTAACTTATATGACAATGTGAGGGCAATTTTTGACCATAGGGTAATACAAAATTATATTTATGGAGTTAAAGTTATAACTAATAAATGGACCATTTTAAGCACACAATGCAGCCCATTCAACTTAAAACCTGAGGCTTAAAATGTTCAATTAGAAAGCACCTTTCTCAAATATAATAAATATTTTTGGTTGTCACACTGGTGTATCCCCTTAAATTGTTTTCTAATATTTAATTTTAGGGGCTTGTCAAATGATGATGACTGCCACCTGTGGATTTATACAATTATATTTTCCATGTGGAATGTATAAACCTTCTCAGCGTCTAAACAAACCACCAGGGTTTTATAAGCATATGGTTTTGGTTGGATGCACAAGATTTTTAACTGTTGTTTTAGGCTTGGTTGCATTAAACTATGTTGCTGTTAGTTTTACTGAAACTATTAAAAGCTCAGCACCACTTTTTACTGTTTTGATATCCAGATTTCTATTAGGTAACAAAAAACAACAATGCAGGATTTTTGAAAAAAAATTCTTTTTTTTTAGGTGAACAAACAGGACTATATGTAAATTTAAGTTTGCTGCCTGTTATGTCTGGTTTAGCATTGTGTTCCATAAATGAAATCAGTTTTGAATTGATTGGTTTTGTAGCTGCAATGGCAACAAATGTAACTGAATGTATACAAAATGTGTATTCTAAAATGTTAATATCTGGGGATAAATTTAAATACACGTAAGTATTTCTTTTATTAGTTAAATTTGAAATGGCAAAGGTGTAAATAAAAGCTTTCACTAGTTAGATAGGTGAATAGATTGAAGGTCATGTTGTATAATAATTTCATCCTTTCACTTTTGATAACTAATTGGTTATTTTTTACATGTAGATAATCTTTGGGTAATCTTGATAATATAATTTTGTTTGTTTGCTAAATATTTTCTATTTATTAAAGGATTTTATTCAATTTATTTGAACTATTTTGTTTTTACATATTCTGGTATTTCCTTGTATAAATTACAAATTTAGATAACTTTTTATCAACAGTTCCTATTTTATAAAAAATATTTAAGTTAAATATTTTAAATTCATAAAGGTATTGCATAATAATAATTATTAATTATTATTTATATAATAGAATTAGTAATTTTGTTTAGTTTTACCATAAAAATTATTATGATATAAAACTGTATTAAAACTTTTAATGTAAAAGGATAATTCCACTCGTCAATTTAAATGTATTAAAAACTGTCAAAACTATGGTTTGCTAAAGGATAAAAAGTAAGGAACAGAAATGCAAGTTACCAAAATTGATGAATATTTTTACATTTACCCTAAGGATGTATTATTTTATAGAGAAATGCCAAAGTGACACAAAAATGATTTAATTTATTTACTCATGGAATTTTCTCAACAAATACCACTTGAGGTTCGATTGAGCAGGACATTTTTTGGACTTTTAACTCAAACTTGGTGGTTTGTTAATTTGACTATAAGAGATTTGGGCGAGAAAATTTTATCGCCAAAATTTCTTCTCGTCAAATTTACACGTCAAACCCCCAAGTTTGTGTAAGAAGTCAAAAAATATCCGGCTAAATTGAACCTCTAGTGGTATTACATTTGATTATAATTGTACTACTATTGTTTAAATAATAAGTAATATTTTATCAAAGTTTATAGTTCCAAAAAATACATTATAATAAATACAAAAAATTAATAAAATTCAGCTGTTCTAAGGGGCCGTTCATTAATTACGTGAGACAATTTTGGCGATTTCCCCCTCCCCTTGGTGAGATGTCGTGAGATTTTGCTCGACCCCCTCCCCCCTTAATCTCACGTGAGATTTTTTAAAATGCATGGTTTTAATGTAAATAAGTTAATCTGTGCTTGATTCCATTAGATTTATTTTAAAAAACAATTTGCTTATAATTGTTTACTTAATTTAACCCAGTTTTCTCGCAATTTTACACTCTTTCTTTCGGAAAAAAAAATTACGTGATATTTGCCGAGACCCCCCCTCTCCCCCACGTGAGATTTGGTAAGGTTTGGCTCGACCCCCTCCCCCCCTAAACACCTCACGTAATTAATGAACGGCCCCTAAAGGATTCAAGAAAAAAAACATTAATTTGTAATATTATCAAAATCGCAGTTATTCTTAGAGAATAAGAATTGTTCTAGAGATTTTTAGCTTTATATAAAATAGTTATTTATGTCATTATTTTGTGCTGAGCTCAAAGTTTAAAGGCTGACATTTAGAGGAGGCCTACAATTAAGCAAAGCCCAAAAAGACACTCATACAACATTTTATTTTCAAGGCATAATTTTATTTGTAAAACGATACTTAAAACGTATACTTAAAATTATAATTATTAAAAGTAGAAAGTGAGGTTAGATAGATCTGACAGTAGTCGAATTTTTTTATGGTACGCTATTGGCCGATCGGCTATAAGACTTTTCTACTGCACACATGAAGAGAGCTGTGAAGCATTAAAGTCTTGTAGCCGATCAACCAATATCGTACCGGGCAAGTGGCTATTACGCGCAAAATGTTCTGGTGAATTGCTTAAATGGATAGAGTATAGGCATCAGGTAAAACACTTTACCTGATTGGTCTAAATTATTTGTACAGCCTATGCGATAATTAATTACTTTAGTTGTGAGTCTGACAATAAGAAAGTTTAAATTATAGAACGCTTAAAGATAAACATGTTTTCTTAAATTATGTTTAGATATTCGTTTTTTTTGGCATTTTCTAATTGTAAAGTTTTTATGGCTGGAGAGGTATTTGATTATAACTTATAATCTATCTACACTTGGGTGCAAAAAAAACGACTCACTAACAAGCTTGAGTTTTAAAAGAATGTGTGTTACCTACAACAGCATACTGATTAATTTTATATGTATTGTTTACAAGCTCAACAAAACTGCTTTTAAATAATACCATAATGACTCAAATTGGACCAGTTTTAACAAGTCTATAGGCCTACAAATATTTATAAGACAAAAGAGTTAAAATATAAAAATGGAAAATAAACGAAAAACAAATAAATCAATGAACAAAATTATGTTTTTATTTTTTTAATATTTAGTGTTGTCACCTCTTTTTATAATGACACCTAATCACCAATTGCGCATTGACCTAATTACATTTTTAATGGTATCTTAAGGGATTGCTTTCTCCGGCTCTATCGATTCTCTTACGGCATTTGGTGCTGGATTTTTGGCTCGGACTCATCTCTTAAGGTCATCCCAAACATGCTCGATATGATTTAAGTCCGGGCTCTGTGGAGGCCAGACCATGGTCGGTATAACAACTTCATTTAAGTTAAAGGTGATCACACGCGCGGTGTGGGATCGAGCATTACCTTGCATAAACATAAACGATCACCAACAAATCCCGCATACGGTAACACATACTCTTAAAGAATGTCCGTGATGTAGCGGTCTGCCGTTAATCTTCCTCTACGACCTCCATCAGGCACGAAAACCATCTTTATTTCGCCGCCTATTGAAATTCCCGCCCAGAACATACAAGAGTTACCTCCGTACGCAACAATTGGCTCAATACAGCATTGGGAAAATCGCTCTCCTGGTCGCCTATACACCCACCGTCTCCTGTCATTGCCATGTAAGCACATTCTGCATTCGTTGGAGAATAAAACCTGACTCCATTTGCCGAGGTCCCAATTAATATGTTCATTGGAAAATTCCAGTATTTTTTGTTTTTGGGTTGCAGTCAAATTGGGAGCCCTAGATGGCCTTTTTGGGGTGAGGTTGGCTGCCTTCAGGCGTCTTCTAACTGTTCAACGGCTGACTACCACACCACGAACCTGTCTCAGCTCTTCTGTGAGATCAACACCAGGAAGTGTTCGATTTCTTAATATTTTCGTGACGAGAAATCGATCGTCCCTCAAGAATGTGACTGGTCTATGGTCACTTTCTTGTCGGCGGTTTTAGCCACCCGTTTCTTGGTATCGATGATTAATCCGAGATACGGCTAACTGACTTAAATTGAGTCGGTTTCACACGGCCCTCTGGTTAAAGCCCTCACCTAATAATGCAACTGCCTGAGCTGTTTTTGTGGTAGTTGTATTCATTTTAATGTCAATTACTCTTGGCTTTAGTTTAATTAGCTTAGGTTTATAATTACGTTTGACAATTAAAAGCAATTAGTAGACTGTAGGCCGTTTACAAGGTCATTGCGCGGACCCATTCAAATTAGCAAGATTTGCGACACCCCTTTAATGTTGCATCTTTTTTAAATGCGTTACCTGATTATTGCTATAGTATCCTATTTTTATAGGTAAAAAAATAAGAAACTTATGGCATATCTAATATTTTTATTGTTATTGTCCAAACACTAAAACAGTAGGCAGAAATGCGAATGCATATAGTGAGTCGATTTTTTTGCACCCAAGTGTATAAAAGTGCTAATTAGATATTTCTGGGTTTTTGTGACGAAATTTGATAACGATTTTTTAGTTTTAAGATAAGCATAATTATTTTACTGATTAAACCAATTTCCGGTTAAGGTTCATTATATAAACCGCAAATTATTACTATCGTACGATAAACACGTGTTTGAATATGTTCTGAATCTAATATCCTAATTACAAATTTAATATGCAAATTTTAGATTTAATTATAATTATTAATTAACAATGTCTCGTTTATATAAAACCGAAAATGGAATATTACCGTTTTAAATGAATTCTTAATCTGAAATCCCTATTCTGAATCTAATATCCTATTTTTTTGGATGTTATGTTATAATTTTTAATTAACATTTTCTCGTTTATTTAAAACCGAAACTTTATTATTACCGTTTTGAATGTATTCTGAATCTGATATCCTTATACTGAATCTGATATCCTAATTTTTTGTATTTTTAGTTATAATTATTAATTAACACTATAGTACATATAATATTAAATAATATAATATTAAATATTTATAAAAAAAATCGTTACGGAAACCAAAAAATATCCAATAGGCAGTTTTATAGATAACTTCTAGATAAGTTTCTTTGAGTAAAGGTAGAAACAATTAATAATTAATTAACAATTTCTCGTTCATATAAAACCGATAATTTATTATTATCGTTTTGAATTTGATCACAATTTTATTATTTTTTAGTTTTTTAACAAAATATTGTCTTCTTATTAATATTATAATTGGTTAAATAACATATCATGACAAATGTTACAAAAATTATCAAATAGCTTCTTAAAACATATAATATAATATTATTATGACTAGGTACCTACTACAAAGTTTTTTATTTTATTTTTGATCCATTATAAAAACAAAATTGTTTATGTCACATCCGAGGTCACATCTTAAAGTCTAAAACTACACTGCTAAAATGTTTTAAGATTTTATTAAATAAAAACTAAAGTAAGTACATACCTAAGCTATAAAACCCTATTAAGTATATGCTATGAAACCCTATTAAGTATAATAATAGATTATTTTCCAATTGTGTTTTTCATTGTAAATTTGAGGTTTATTATCCTTAATTAATATTCCAAAATATCCTTTGCTCTTTTTAGTTAAAAGTTTTAACACAGAGCAGGGTAATCATTTCTTAATATGAGAAGTACACGATAAATGTGTGGAAAACACAAAACATAAAAACATGGCTTATGGAATGCTATTAAATAATGTATTTGAAAAATTATGTCATTGAGGTGGTGACCATTTTCATTCCATTCCAAATAGGCTATTTGGCGATGTGA